TACCGTTTGTCTGTTGATTCTTTCTGTGGGGTTTTTTAGTTTTGTCTACACGTCCTGTAATTCAACTTAGAAGAAAAGCATTTTAACATTTGCTTCAACTTTTCTTTACCGTTTTTTTACTAACTTGTTTGACCCTGTAACAATGTTAGGAATCATGGAAGGAATATAATGAATTTGTAAACATTTTCTATTGTCATTTTGTTTTTTTTTTTTAACTTGCTTTTTACCTATATTGGAGAGAAGAACGCTTCTTGGATTATTGACTTGTTGCCATTAATTATGTACTTGTGTGATGTAATTTATGGGATTAGTTGCATTCACTCTTGGATGTAATGTAAGACTGATGATGCCTTGACTCTTGAGGTGTTAAGTCGTAGTAGTTTTTTCTCATCTGGTACAGTTTTGTGATCTAACTTTCTTAGATACCTTGTTGGATGTTTTCTTTTATTAAAGCATACCATTAGACTCGGTGATGCACTATGATGTTGTGAGTCTTTAAGATGATTTCCTATTTTAGGCCTTTTTCCCCGCAAAAGAAAGTGACTCTGAGTTGTAGAATAATCCAGGAAGTTATTGTTAATGACACTAATGGAAGCACAAAGAACTGGCTTTTTGGATTAAACGTATGAATGCTAGGCCTGGGCTCTGGAAAATTAGACTGCTTAGTTCTTGCTGATTTAGAAGTTGTGACACTACCATCAGTAATTGAGCTTCTGGACAGATGTGTGTCATTGTTGCATTGTTGTACAATTTTGCATTTATGTGCCATATAAATTGATTTTACCTCAGCATTACCTAAATGCTAAATAGATTGAATTGTGATTCTGTCGTTGATATGAATATGCAGTGCTTTTTAAAAGCAACCTACCATATGAAATGTTATGTATGCATATTTTCTTTTTGTAAGGCTCCCCAATCGAGCTGGTCGAGCTTGAGATCCTCCACGACCAGCCGATTCTCCCTCAGACGACAGCGTTTCGCCGGAGTCGACATGAGAATCCGAGTCAAAGGCGGAGGTCACACTTAGTCTACGCAATTAGGCAAAGCATAGCTAAAGCTCTGGTGGCGTTTTATCAGAACAATGTGGATGAGCAGAGCATGAAGGAGATTAAGGATATCTTGGTTAGGTACGACCAGACGTTGCTCCTGGTGGAACCGAGACGATGAGAACCAAAGAAGTTCAGTGTTTGTGGTGTTATATTTGGTACCTTAGGTTTAAGTGGTATTTTGGGTTATTTAAATTCTATGTTTTTGTTGCTTTGAACTTAAAAGTTGTTGAATGTTAGGGCATTACTTTTTAAGTTGTGTTATGGGATTTTATAGTAAATTTGTTGAATTAAGAGTAACTTTGTCTTGAATATTGTGTTGTTGTTATGCTTTTCTTTGATTGAAATTGGGTTCTTATGACCTTGTTCAACCGCCAAGGACAACAGCAAGGAATTCATGTCTTTAGGACAACAGCAAGGAATTCATGTCTTTAGGACAGCAGCAAGGAATTCATGTCCTTAAGCTTCCAGCAGGGACTCCCCTCACCAGTTTTACATGGGTGTAGTTACATCTACCCCTTTTGTATGTGCCCAGCAGTGAATATCAACCATTAGTGAATATCAACCATTGTGATGCCTTTTGAATGTACTCCGGTATTATTTTATCCAGATCAGATTCCGTTGTCATGGAAAGTCTCTTGCAAAATAACACGCGACTGGAAATGACACACTAGTTCTTAACATTAATAAGCACGCTTTGAAAAAAATATTATTTCATGTGATTTCTTGTAAAGTTCTTTATTAGTGTTCTTACAAGTAATTTCTAAATAATTGTTATGTTAAAATAATATCTTAAATGATGTTAATCCGTGATTGTTCAGTTTTGATAAAACAAATTTTATAAAAATTTCAAGTTACTAGTTATTTCATTACTTTATAATCAACAGGTATGATAATCATATTTCTAACCTGAAAAAGATTTTAGTTTGTGAAAAATTAACTCAGATGCTTGGATTTGCAATAAAAGCATGAGTTTTTTTAGTACAAAATTTTCCAAAATATGATTTGGATGATTGGTTCATTCAATTTCTTACTTAAGGTGACATTGACTTGTTCCAGGAGGAGACCTGGACTCGCCCACAGACGGATCTAGCTACTTGGCCCATACTTTTTTTCACAGCTGATCTGCAAAACCTCTACGAAACCTTTGACTTTCCCAAATGTATCCGGTTAATACCAATTCTTGTCAAGTTCATCAACCAGATCAGGCAGCTTGTTTGTCTGTATGGCTAATCTCATCAAAACTCTTCGGCTGATTATGGTAGATTTAGTCATAAAAGAACCACAATATGGCAAACAAGTTGTGATAAATGTCTTAAATCATGTGATTTGCATCTTTCTATTACCTCATGAGTTCTTCATCATCATTTCTCGTAAAACAGGGAGCGAATATATGGAATAGAAAAAGATAATACATGAAAAGCTAATTAACAAAAAATCCAAAAAATGCTTTAGATTGATATTCTACATATTCCAGCTGAAAGGATTATTCCCGCATCTTGCATTGCAAATTACATAAATTGATCACATAGGAACATACTGTGAGACAATAACAAAGAACTTGCTTTTGTTATGGTGCATGCCTGGGTGTAAACAAACTACAAGAAATCAAAACATTGGATGCATGTAAAAAAGATATTAAAAGAAACCAAATTTACCGCCAAAACATGTGGACTCCATCTTCATAAAATTAAATCAATATAATTAAAATCTAAATGATATAAAAACATCTTCTTAGATTTGTTACTAATGTATCAGACAATAATCTATCTAACGAAATGAAAAGAAGCCCTGCCTACATTTAGATATAGGAGAAAAACTAGAAAGAAATCAATTGCTAATTGAATTTAGAAAGCTTTGTAGAAAACCTTTCAGCAAGTCCTTTGCAGGGATCCACTGCATATATCAGCAAACACCTTCATCTTCACGTACTGCAAAATCGACCTTCATCAAATCGCCTACTCACATGCCACTAGAATTTGGTGAAACCAAACTCTCCATATATGTCATTACTCGAGACCATTGCCTTATACCACTAACTTTTAGTCTTCTGAATGTGTCTTTCACCGGATCATACAATTCAAATATGCTTGGCTTTCTACCCATTGCAAAGAAACTCACACTTTCACTATAAGTAATAACGACTTCACCATTTTTCATAATGCATATTGGCACCAAATTTTGTGGATATTGAAATGTTTGCAGATTCTTAATTGTCATGAACTTTATCCAACTCTGTTTCATGTTATCCTTCTCTAGTTTCCACATCTCCATGCTGTCTCCCTCAAGATTCTCAAGATTTTGAGCCAAACTTAGACATCCTCCAATCACTCGCAATGTAAAATGACGTCCTTCTATTGCATCATTGGGTGGTGGTAAAACTTCAAATATTTCATGTGTCAAATCAAATCCAAGAATCCGACGAGTAATATCTGAATATGGGTAACCTTGTTCATGGTTAGGTAAATATATCACATTCCAATAAAGAATCTCGTTAACAAGAGTCCCTGATAATGAATTTTCAAAAAAAATTCTAGAAAGACGGAAGCTTTGGATTCTTTTCCAAGTATTAGATTTCAGTGAATAGATATCAACCGGGGCTTCTGCTAAATATGCTCTGTCTACCGATTTAACAATTCTTATAATTTTGTAGTCATTAGTAGAGTGATCATAACCGAATCCAAAAGTGTCCCGCACATCCTTATCTAAAGGGCAAGAGAGGGGTAGTTTTTTGAACTCTTTAATACTTGGATTCCATAAGATAAGAGTTTCCCTTGGCATACCTAGGCATAACAAACCATTGCAAGAACCTAAAAGTTCAATACCATATTTCGGATCCAGGGGAAAATCAATCCTGTACGATGGCTTCTCTCCTGCTTCATAGCTCATTGATTGAAGAAAATAAGTAGAAGACAGAATCAGTCGTTGCAGATCATTGTATTTACTTTCTTTAACATGATTGAGGTGCATCCTGATGAAGCTAGAGCTCGAAAGCAAAGCATTCCAAGATTTGGAAAGACATCGAAAACGCAATATTGATTTTGGTGGATGTCTAGCCATTATTCCAATGATTAGATCATCAAAAAGTTGTACCACTCTCCTCTGCTCCTTCATCATTGGCGCCATATTCTCTGCTTCTTGAGTTTTTATTGGGGAGTGGGGGATAGCCTCATACGTTACCAATATTCAGAAATTCACACCTTGTAGAAGCCGAGGGTCTTCTCCTAGCAACTGGATTTCCTTGGAGTCCATCTCAACTTATACTTGGTAATTAAGATTCCTTTATCATTTTAAAATTTTCTTTTCCTAGAGTTTTAATTCTTGTGAAACACAAAAACAATCCTATTAAGTTTAACTTAGGTGAAGAACTCAACATTATTAAATTAAATATAAAACTGATAATAATACTAATAAGTGTATTCAATCATTTAGTTCATTAGTTGATGTATAATTTTCTTACTGAAAGAAGTAAGGTTTGAATCTTTTTTCTCCCAAATTCAATATATATATAAATATATATATATTAATAAGTATTTTTTGTATTAAGAAAAATGTTTAGTACCTTATTAAAATTTAATCATTGAGCATAGTCTTATTAAATTTTTATAATTAAAGATGTTCGATTTTAATAAGATATATATAAAAATGGTTTTTGAAATTAATAAATATTATTAGTATAATAGTCGAAAAAGTTCATGAAATATTCAAGGATATTTAAATAAGTTTTTATTGTTTTATTATCTTCATCCAACCTTTATATTTTGATTTTGGATTAAATAAATTCAATTAATGATTAACTAATTATCATTAATTCAAATACCACTAATTATTTTATAATAGTATTAACATGGTGTCAATATAGAAGTTGAAAATATAACATGGTCATGTCAACATGTCACATTATCACTTTTCAAAGAAAAACATGTCATATTAATATCAATTATGATATATTAACATATCATGTCATTATTAATTATGACATGTAAATATATTAAATTACCATTACGTGGTATAAAATAACAAATTGTATTTTAACTAAATTAATTATTAATTATAAAAACTAATTAGTATAAGACTTGATTAGGCATGATAAAAGATTGCATAAAATAAAAAATAAAATTTATTTAAAAATTTTCATAAATTGTTTTAATTGTTTTTAAAATATCATGTTTTAAAATTTTAAAAAATGTCTAAAAACACAATACATGCAAGGAAGATAATATACCGATAGGATCAGCAGTGAATATCAACCGTTTTAATTGGCTTGACGGCCATGATCCAAGGAAGCGCATGGAGGCTCACCAGAAAAGATCCCACTGTAGGCGTTCCATCATTAGAGCATATTTCCAAGACCAGTGGGTGATTCTGTCTACCGGAGTTGACAGTGACAGACCCAACCAATTGGGGAAGTCTTCTGAATTCACTTTGAATTTGCATGCCACGGTATCGGTATCCATATCTTTTCTGTGAGATGAAGATCTTCCTTTGTAGATGTTGGTTTCTCCAAACACAAAACAAAACAAAATGCTACCCCGTTTTACTTGCTACTTTAATTGCCCATCTCCTATTTCACAACTCTCTCTCTCTCTCTGGCTGCTTCCACTATTTTCCCTCTTCTCTGCATTTTGCAACGTTTACGGCCTCCTGGGATTCTTGTCTTCTTGAAGGAAAATGTCCCGGCCCGGTGGTCAAGCCAATAACAGTGCTGACGGTCAGCTTAACAGTATCCAAATTACCGTGAAGGGTCAGGTGCACTTCGTGCCCCCTTTCTTCTTTTTATGTGGTGTTTTCTTGTCGGAATTTTTTCATTAGTTTCTTGAAAACTCTTAACAGTCGAATACCTTGTTTCCTTCATATTTGGATACCTTCTACCTTGGGTTTTTCTTTTTTTTAAAGTGCAGCTTGGTTTTATTTTCTAAGCGATTCTTTAGATATTTAGAGTGTAGAAGTAGAAGCTGCTTTGTTTTCCCTGGGTTTTACCTGTTACATGAAAATTTCTTCTGTAGTGATTGCCTGCGGGCTCTGTTGGGTCATTCAATATAATATTAGATGATCAAAACTGTTCCTTGCTATGGGTTTCTCAGTGGGTTTGTAATGCCAAGATTGCACTCGGGCTCAGAATCCATCGCACAATGGTCAAACTAAGATGTACACCTTGTTAGACGTAAACTGATTAGTGGTTTATTTATTAGAGAAAATGAAAATTTTCAAAAGTAGTTTAATGATCATTAAGAGCTGGTTGTTTAAATTAAATGTATTTGAACCAATGCATCAAGTCGCAGTAATTCTGTAATTTGAGGAAGTTGAATGGAGTCAATTTCATGGGATATGATGATAAAGTTAGGGACAAATTTATAACAGCCTATCTTGCTCCAATATGGAAAAACGTGCGATATGATGAACAACTTGGATGGCAGGAATACAAAAGCTTGATGATATGAAAACAGTTGAATTCTATATGGGCTACTGGTTGTGGAAAATCATGGTAATGACTTGGAATGATGAAAGTGTGAAGAGCTTGCAGAAGATAGAATTATTTCATTCTGTAGTTGCAAATCTTATGAATGAATATAGCAATGGAAGTACTCATAGTGGCAAAAGCACATCATTTCGTAACTGGCTTCAACTGTCGGTTATAGTGAAGCTTTATCAAGACAATGGTGTTAAGGGCTAAGTACTTTAGGAATTAGTATTCCAGCTGCTAGAAGTTCAAGAAGACTCTGTTTCTCTAGTGTGAGATCAGACGCTATCATATAGTCTGAACTGTGTACATAGCATGAGATACCTTCAAGTGAATGGAATAGCATCATGTAGTTCTATTCATTTATTTCAATCTCAAAATGACGAAAACGTTCTTTTTGCTGGACAGCAACTGCATTGTCTTAGTAAATTGAGATTTAATGAGTTGTGTTAAATATGTTGCCTAGTTTAAGGTATTTCCGTCAAATATCAGTCTTTATCAGCTTTATAATATTCTGTTATTCATCTACAGCTTGTTTTTACTTCCGTGAATGACTTAATAAGCCATGAACCTAATATATAACTTTATCCTAAATCTGATTGACAAAAAGATTACAGAAAGTTTAGGATCTCAAAAACTAATGGATTATTACTAGTTTTTTGTTTTATTTATTTTATAGAAAATATTGCTTTAAGGTGTTAACTACATTTGACCACGTGAATGACAAAATAGATGACAATGGTGGATCTCATTTATGCTATGACTTGGCTAGTTTGAAATTTTAATTTTTGGATGACACCATTGATTAGGAGCCATTGAACTAAGGTTGGTTGGTTACTTTGCTCAAAAGAAGAATAAACAAGGTTATCTACTCACTAGGCTTGGTGCACAAGCCTTGAATCTGTGGATTTGTGGTCAATAGCAACATTTTTATTTTTTCAATAACATAAAAGATTTTGGTTCCAGAAATTTAAGAGTTTGGTCCCTTGTGTAGGATGGGAATACAGTGGTCGACAAGATTGGGCGCAAGATTAAGTTAAGCAAGCCCCTCCATTCTTACTGTCAAAAGAAGCAGGTGGACTATCGGACGGTGCCATTTGTTCATGAAGGTCGTCATGTGCGAGGGCAACGTACGGCAGAAAAGCTATTATATAATTAATGAACATAAACTCTCTTCTAGTATATAATTTTACTTTATTATAAAATTTAAGTGTTCATCTGCCCTCAGTACGCTACCTCTCTGGTGTACCTCAAATAGGCTTTCTTAGGTACAAAAAAAACTATGCAGAGGTCCTTTTGCTATCCTTTCTTAGGTACAAGAAAATCTTACACTTCCTTTTCTTATGCCTTAAAAGAGAGTTAACAAGCGTTACAGTTGGGTGATTGACATATCCTTTAATTTGATTGTTACTTGGGCTCGTTTCTATTTGTTATTTGCCTAATAAGATTTTGTTAGGTACATCAAAAGGCTTTAACTCCTCAAAGGATAATGAGTGACGTGGAGGTTGGGTTCAAAATTTTCTTTTCACCCCATTAGTGTCAAATTCCATCCTTAGCACCACAATTGCACCAAGCAAGTATATGTTTCATGTGACATCCTCTAAAGTTCTTTTTTAATGTTCTCTAGAAGGAATTACAATATTAAAATAATATCTTAATGATGTTAATCAATATTGATCTAATCTTGATCTGAAAAGTTATTTCATTACTTTATAGTCAATAAACGTGATAATCATTTATTTAACATTAAAAACTGTTTTAATTTATGAAAAATTAATTTTGAGCTTGAATTTACAAGATAGGTACATACGTAATTTCTTATTACAAAATTTTCCCTAAACATTGCTGGGAGAGTGTGATTGGGAGGATTGGTTCATTCAATTTAGGGAGACCTTATTTGTCAGAGAAGACCTTGACTTACCAACAGACAGGTCTGCTGGGCGCAGCTAACCCGTCCGTATTTTTTTTCATAGCTGATCTGCAAAACCTTTGAATTTCTCAAAAGTATTCTGTTCATACTTTCCGATATGTAACGCGATTCTCGTTAAGTTCATCAACTCGATCAGGCCCCTTGTTTATTTGTATGGGCAATCTCATCAAAACTCCTTGACTTAGCCATAAAGAAACTGAAATTTAGCCGACAAGTTTTGATAAATGTCTTAAATTTTGTGATCTTTTAACGATTGTCTTGAGAATTCCACGTCTTTCACTTAACCCATTACATCTTCGATTGATGGAAAAACAATTAAAATCAATTCAAAAAGAGTTTAATTTCTTTGGAAATTTTGAAAAAAGTCTTCAACATGATCGTGAATTCGATTGATATTCTACATATGCCATCAAAATGTACAATTCCTCGTCTCCATGCAAACTACATAATTGATCACTTGGGAACATGTTGTGAGTCAATACCATTGGCAAAGAAGCTCCTCTTATCATGATGCATACCTGGGAGGAAAAAAAACTATCAGAAATCAGAACATTGGATGCATATCAAAAATGATATTAAAAAAAATCAAAATTGCTGGAAAAACATGTGATTTCCATCACCGTAAAATTAAATCATTATTTGTTTAATATAATTGATATAAAACATCAACTTTTAGTCTTTTAAATATGCCTATCACTGATCATACAATTCAAATCTTCTTAGCATTCTACCTAT